AAAGCAACATATTTCATACATTCTGAATGAGAAGCCTAATCTTTCTAGGGTACTTTTTTCTTTTAGAAAGGATTGGAGAGTACTTGGAACAAACAGTTAATGGAACAGTATTGGCAGGACTGAAATTTGGAGAATTCTGCCATTTTTTTCTCCCAATTAAGTTCTGATGGCCCTGGTTCAAGAAAGCATCCCTATTCCATTGAAGTCCATGGGATTTATGCATGTGTATAAGTCCATCCTTATTCTGGAAGTGCTTAAGCTTGGTCCAAAAAAATGGTGTTTTTTTTAAATAGAGCTAATAGAGTATTGCTCCCAATTCCACTCTATGCCCAGGATGCAGGGTATCAAGAAGGGGGAATATGGGGAAAGGGCGGGGAGACAGTTGTCAAGGCAGGGCAAGTGAGAATTGAGGAGAATAATACTGCCACTTTTGAACCCCAGAGCACTAGTATTTTGTGCAGAAACCTACATTGTCTACGTAGCTGGAGTCATTGCCCCCAGCAGGTGTTGCTGTATAAATGCATGTTTGGTGGGAGACAGGAAGATACGTTAAACAGGAGGACACCTCCATATTTAAAATGTGTTTATAGATGGGTGGGCTTTTAGTTATGTCTTCTACAAAAGACAAATAATAAATATTGATACACTGAAAATGAAAATCTAAATTTGGATACCTCCTAAATACTTGCTATGTCATTGCAGGCTAATGATTTTCACATGCTTTGGGAAAAAAATGTTTTCCCTAATCTTAAGTGATAATATAAGGCATGAATTTAACACTCTTCTTAGTGTCTGTCAGAATGGAAAAGCTTGGGCATAGAAGCTACTTTCCAAGTCCAATATGTGTTGCCCATTTTGAATTTCTGTGCAGGTAATGGAGATCTTTGAAAGCAGCACTTCAGCAAGCAAGATCTCCATCTTTAACAATATGAATTTTTAAGACTGTATGTTGACTTAATTACTAGAGTACTCTTCCCAAGTGAGATTTTCTGTACATAAATCACTCACAAATAGCAGCTCAACATTCTGTTACATGCAGGTACTTCTACCTGTGAGGTGTTGAGTGGGTCATTATTAACACCAGCATCAGTCTTTTCCAAAAAAAGAGGAAGCAAAATTATAACCCAGTGATGGTCAGTTGGTTGTTATAAAACTATTTGTCTCGGCTGCTTTCCAAGAAAAATATACTGTATGTGAAATAAATCTGGACTTACATTACAGAACGCTTCATTGCGTGGCTCTTCATGCTTTACTGGCAGTTATTATTGCATATTGCTTTGCAGAACATTGTGCAATCTAACTGTCAAGTATGTGTGTGTTTACAGTGTCCCTAACTTTAATTTTTTCCCCCCCTTCAGGGAAAGGGTGAATATACAATGGAATACAGTAGATACCAGCCATGTTTACCTAGTATTCAAGAAGACCTAATTCACAAATACCTAGAAGCAACAGGACAACTTCCCGTGAAAAAGGGCAAGGCCAAGAGCTGACTTGCCTCCTCCTGAGTGTTAATTAGCAGCTTTTCACAATCTTCCGACAAACTCTTTCTCCTGCAAAGCTCTGTAACCTCAGTGACTCAACACCTCCAGGGTGAATAGATGAATTCAGACTGTATCAGGACCTAATCTTTATTAAAAGCTCCTTCCTTTATGATACATTCAGAAGTTACCTGGCGATCACGGCTGAAATGGTCACATACAAATTCCATTCATTAGCAAAAAAAATCTGTTTAATTATAATAATAATTTGTCTTTGAATTTTTTGTTTTAAAGCACTTGTATTAAAATGGTGATATGGTAATTATTTTATTTTGTTACTTGGGAAAATACAATACTGTGACTATTGTGCCTCAATTTTGAATCTTCTAGGATCCCAATTCAGAAGACTAAATTTACACAGCTTGATGGGCATCAGGTGGAAGAATTCTTATCCAATAGAATGAAAATGTGTCCTTAAAGGATGTTCCCAAACAGATCCCTTTGCTTCTATAAGTCACTCATTAGCAATAAGAAAAGGAGTACTTGTGGCACCTTAGAGACTAACCAATTTATTTGAGCATGAGCTTTTGAGAGCTACAGCTCACTTCATCGGATGCATACCGTGGAAACTGCAGTAGACATTATATACACACAGAGACCATGAAACAATACCCCCTCCCACCCCATTGTCCTGCTGGTAATAGCTTATCTAAAGTGATCATCAAGTTGGGCCATTTCCAGCACAAATCCAGGTTTTCTCACCCTCCGCCCCTCCTCCCCCCCCCCCCCCCCCCACACACACACACACACACACAAACTCACTCTCCTGCTGGTAATAGCCCATCCAAAGTGACCACTCTCTTCACAATGTGTATGATAATCAAGGTGGGTCATTTCCAGCACAAATCCAGGTTCTCTCACTCCCTCACCCCCCTCCAAAAACCACACACACAAACTCACTCTCCTGCTGGTAATAGCTTATCAAAAGTGACCACTCTCCCTACAATGTGCATGATAATCAAGGTGGGCCATTTCCAGCACAAATCCAAAAACTTGTGGCACCTTAGAGACTAACAAATTTATTTAAGCATAAGCTTTCGTGAGCTACAGCTTATTTCATCATAGCTCGCGAAAGCTTATGCTCAAATAAATTTGTTAGTCTCTAAGGTGCCACAAGTACTCCTTTTCTTTTTGCGGATACAGACTAACACGGCTGCTACTCTGAAACGTTTGATTTTCACATGCACATTTGTTCATCTACTGCAACTCCTGCTATGCTTACAACATTCTCTGCAGATTTCAAGTTAACAGGTCATGGGGTGGGGATGGGGTGTGAAGCTCAAAAGCAAGAAAGCGTTTTGGGACAACGTTCCTGGCACCTTGTTCTGGTTATCCAGACACAGAATGGAACTGTAGTGACATGCTTTGCATTAGCATTCACAAAAAGATAGCGAAGATGGTTATTTTTAAATAACTATTGTAAACAAATACAATTTCAAGGATTTGCCAGGTGCACATAGACACAAAACAGATGCATCTAGCTCCATGCACACTAAACCTCATAGAATCAAATCCTGCTTGCCCGGCTCATGTATGTGCTATTCTCAGCTGGAGTACTCTTGTGAATAAGATCAACTGGATTTGGCCTTTAAAAGTGCCCCACACGTTGCTTATTCCTTTGTAATCCAGTAAAATAAATGTTCTAGCAGGATCTTCCTTTGCCACAAACAGATAAACCCCCTCATAAAAGTAATAAGGATATATTTGAGAAAGTAAAAACTGGGTAATTGTCACTTATTTTCCATATATTTGTGGCCCTCATTTTGTCCTCTTATCAGAGGATCACTTTTTTTTTAATTTTTTTAAACAAATAGCTTACATAGACCCAGATTTATCAATGTAAAGGTCATAAGAGTTTCCTGAATTTAGGTCAAAAATCTCTCTACAGGAATACAGGGTGATATGGTTATTGAAGGGACTGACAAAAGCTGGTTGCTCAATACAAGTGGCCTTAGAATAACGCTCAGATAGAATTTAGGCCCTAATTCTGATCTTGCACTAGTGTTAATTGGAGAAACTCCATGTTTGTCAGTGGAATTACACCAATATAAACCTACGTGAGTGAATAAGACTCAGACCCTATAGATTTCTTGGTGGTTTGGTGGGGGAAGGATGGTGTCTTGCACAGGTTTTGTTGGATCTGTAACATGGTAACACATCCTGTATAAGGAGTTTCAGTAACAGTCCAGACCGCTCCATTGTCTTCTCTTTGGGTAGTAACCATTAGTTTGTTCAAGAATTTTGAGGGGTCACTTCTATCTTTGTATCTGTCACCAATCTCAATTTTCATGGAAAAAGAGGCAGTGCTCCTACTTTCAGTAAATGAATAGTCCATTGCATCAGGTGGGTGAATTTCAGCTGTTCATGGGTTTGTGAGGCAGCTGTCCTCTCAGGGAGCAAGAACAGAAAGGACCAAAACATTCTAACAAAGTGGCAAAGCTTTGAAAATAAATACTTTGTTGAATCTGGGCTTACTGGTTGAAATACTGTTATTTAAGTTGCCCCCCCTCCATACAGACTGAGCTTGATGACTCTGATTAAAACATTTGACTGGGAGAATTTAGCCGAGAATTTAGACCATTGTAGTTCACCTATTGCAAGGAATTCCTTTAACTTATTATAAGTAAAAATGCTGTTTTCCTTGGTATTAAGACAATCCCAGATAGATTGGCATAGATTTAAGAGTGGGAGGTGAGGGGACACCCCAATTGCCCTAAACCTAGAACATGTGGCTTAGGGCAAGGAATTTTGAGTGAAAAACTATGAATGTTCTTACAAAAGGACTTTAATATGTTTGGGATGGGGCAAAAAGGCAGCAGTAGAAAAGACAGTCTGAGAGTACTAGCTGGGTAACTTGAAAACAGCTGTTTGCTGGAGACCTGCTGTGGGGATACATCTGTGCAAAGCTTTTTCTGTTCTGTCCATCTTTATTCAAGGTAATAACAGGAACTCTGTGCATATTGTAAACAAAAATAGACTAGGAATGACCATCCTGGGTCTTTGGCCTCATTTTTCTTCTGAAAAATTTGTACTTCTCCAAGCAAATTGTTCCAGGCTGTCTGCACGCTGAGGAAGATGACACTACATCAGTTTTTGCTCTGTCCATATTTTTACAGTTGCCTTCCTAACCATGAGGGCGAGAAACTTTTTTTTTTTAAAATGAAAGCTTAGATAATGGAGCACAATTTTGTGTCAAGGAGTAGCTTGTGCACTAAAAATGTTGTGGTCACAGAACAGTGGAATACACCAGGTTCTTCTTCTTGGCTTATGTTTATTTTAGTTTGTGATAGAGAATGTTTTTCTCTGCCTTGCCTGTTGCTCTTTCCAGAAGTGCTGCCTAGGCTGGTCTGCAGCCTGTAATGGCCATGGATTTGGAACCAATGCCCACAATGGAGATTGCTTGGAGTTGCTGAGGATAAGGAATGAATCAGCAGTGTCATGCAAAAATAAAACACAACTTCCTCCAAATGTAATGGTATTTATTTTACTGTAGATATAAGTTAAAAGCTAACATCATATTTCTGTTCAAAAATTTAAAAAATTAGTAGACAAATATTTTTCTTATGGAGATGGAAAATTAACACTTTTCTCAAGACTTTCATCCAAATATATTAACTTTGTTCACATTCTGAGTTACAACTAACTTAGTGAAATAAAATCAGGGGTGTGTGTGTATATATATTTATTTTATAAGAACATTTTTAGGTAGATAGATATAATGTGTGATTTCTTTCATTTAAAAAATTCTACAGAGATTTATTTTTGGTGAAGGTTGACTAGTTAAAAGGCTTCGAATTCATTGCAATACAGTTTGTGTAGAAGAGTTATCACAATACTGATTGGAACTATTAATGCAATATTTTTTTCCATTTCAAATCTTTATATAAAAGCCAACATTAATCTTTTTAAATATTTGCTGCTTTCTCATTGAAAATTCCATTAGTAGACCCAGATTCTGTTCCAGACCCTTCTCCAGATTCTGACCATTGATTCTCTGACGAGCAGAAGTACTTCACTTTCAGGGGATGACCAGGAGTCCAAATGACACGGAGGTGGCATGAAATCATTTCCTGGAGAGCAGACAAAACCAAGGTTATCTCTACATTGTCTTTTTTGTTGATGAAAAGAGATTTCAGACAATATGTGTTTTTGTACCTGTGTTGGAATTTCATGTAGTACAACCGAGTAGTCAAAGTCAATCGAATCATCTTTAGTTATCTGGATGCACACAAAAGACAACGAAGAGGGTCAACCAAAATGAGACTAATGTTCAGAAGCGATTCTTCCTGGTTCCATTAGTACGGCCAGTTAGATATTTAATACATGCTGTAGCTTTCTGATTCATTGTGTGGGCTTTTCACACAGCTATGGATGGACTCTCCTTCATCTCAAGCTCTGAACTAAGGAACACACCCAACAGGATCTGTGTGTTTTCCCATCACTTCCTGTGCCCCCTCCTAGACCAGCATATAACACACACCTAAGCAAAAGCATAACCCTCCTTGAGACTTTCAGCCTTGCCCTTTCTTCCTCTCATATAGTAGGGGATATCCTACTGTCCTCTCCCTTGAGCCCCAGACTCGTCACCTTCCCAAAGCAGTGGGGCTGCACCATCCCTGAGATCTATCCAGCTCAAAGATCCATTGTTCTTGAGTTATCTCTAGGAAGGTTTTTCTTTACTAGCAAATTAGGTCATGATGAAATATGACATTGAGAGTTGTGGTAAAAACATGATGTAAAACGTAGCTCTTTGTTTACCCATGAATAGTTGACATGATGCTAAACATGACTTGTCATAAGAACATAATGGCCATACTAGGTCAGAGCAATAGTCCATCTAGCCCAGAATCCTGTCTTCTGACAGTGGCCAATGCCTGGTGCTTCAGAGGGAATGAACAGAACAGGCAAACATCGAGTGATCCATCCCGTTACCCACTCGCAGCTTCTGGCAGTCAGAGGCTTGGGACACCCAGAGTGAGGGGTTGCATCCCTGACCATCTTGGCTAATAGCTGTTGATGGACCTATCATCCATGAACTTATTTACTTCTCTTTTGAACACCATTATAGTTTTGGCCTTCACTACATCCACTGGCAATGAGTTCCACTAGTTGACTGTGTTGTGTAAATAAATACTTCCTTTGGTTTGTTTTAAACCTGCTGCCTATTAATTTCATTGGGTGACCCCTGGTTCGTGTGTTTATGTGAAGGAGTAAATAACACTTCCTTATTCACTTTAGCTAAGCCAATCATGATTTTATAGACCTGTCATATCCCCCTTAATTGTCTCTTTTCCAAGTTGACTAGATCCAGTATTTTTAATCTCTTGTCATACGGAAGCTGTTCCATACACTTAATAATTTTTGTTGCCCTTCTCTGTATCTTTTCCAATTCTAATATATCTCTTTTAAGATGGGGCAACCATAATTGTATGCAGTATTCAAGGCATACCATGGATTTATATAATGGAATTATGATATTTTCTGTTTCATTATCTATCCTTTTCCTAATGGTTCCAAACATTCTGTTAGCTTTTTTGACTGCTGCTGCTCGTTCAGCTGATGTTTTCAGAGGACTATCCACAACTCCAAGATCTATTTCTTGAGTGGCAAAAGCTAATTTAGATCCCATCTTGTGAGATCCTCTTGTAACTCTTCACAGTCTGCTCTGGACTTAACTATCATGAGTAATTTTGTATGTTCTGCAAATTTTGCCAGCTCACTGTTTACCCCTTTTTCCACATCAGTTATGAATATATTGAACAGCACTGGCCCAGTACAGATCCCTGGGGGACAGTACTATTTACCTCTCCCCATTCTGAAAACTGAACATTTATTCCTGCCCTTTGTTTCCTGTCTTTTAATCAGTTAACAGTCCATGAGAGGACCTTTCCTCTTATCCCATGACTGCTTACCTTGCTTAAGAGCCTTTAGTGAGGGACCTTGTCAAAGGCTTTGTGAAAGTCCAAGTACACTGTATTCACTGGGTCACTCTTGTCCACATGTTTATTGACCCTCTCAAAGACTCCAAATAGATTGGTGAGGCATGATTTCCCTTTACAAAAGCTGTGTTGACTTCTCCCCAATAAATGTGTCTGATAATTCTGTTCTTTACTGTAGTATCAACCAATTTGCCTGGTACTGGAGTTAGGCTTGCTGTTCTGTAATTGCCAGGATTGCCTCTGGAGCTGCAGGCACCAAGTACCACCTGTTGAAATGGCTAACTATGGCCCTAGATGCTGAAGGGTATGTCTCCACTGGAGAGTTAACTTGGGGTTTGCTGCTAACTCCCCTCCATCCACACACAAAACCCTCTCACCCAAGTGTGGTGGTGTGTTTTCAGCCTGAGCTAGCTGTCCCTGCTGGGGCTGTCGGTTAAAGCTCAGATGCTGCTTTCACTTGAGCTGGTAACCTCACTTTGAAATGATGACATCAGCTAAATCACTCCAATGCTGATGGTCCTCCAGTGCGCTCCCACAATTTCTCCCATGTAACCAGAAGGAATGACAGTTTCTCCCACAATTCACTGGGAAAGAACCACGGCAGCTCATCTTACTTCAGCACAAAGAACCATGGCATGTCCCCCAAGAACTCCTAGTGATATACATGGCGGAGTGCAGCACCAGTGAGGACACAGTAACTTGGATATGGCTTTGCAGTTTGGCTGATCACACCTGGGCTAGGTGAACCCAAGATGCTCAGAGCTGGATGCTGCTCATCTGAATTAACTTGGCAATAAAGACTTACTCCAGGTTCAAGAATTCTACCTCATCAACCACTGGAGGGTGCCACTGAAAAAGGGATCTTTCATCTTCCCATAGTTAGGGAAGCCTTCCCATAGCCTTTTCTTCTGAAAATCTGACCCTAAACACCCAGGACCAAAAACTAAACACATTGTGCATATTGATCATAGAAATTAGAGATGGAAAAAACCTATTAGATCACAGATTCCATACCCTCCAGATATAAGATATAGTCCCCTGAGAGAGGGCAGGTCAAATATTCAACTGGCATTATACTTAAGCTTAGCTAAAAGGCCAAAAGACAACAGGAATGAGTTAGTATAAAGTCAGCATATTACAGTAACACAGGGTCAAATCCTCACTCTCATGTTTAGTCTTACGGAAATCAATGGAGGTATTTGCATAAGTAAGGCAAGCAGGATTTGGCTCACACTTTGTACTAACATTTTTTGCATAAATTCTTGGACAAAATAAGTCATTTTTGATTGAAATACTTTCACTTCGGATACTGAGAACTTGTATGAATCTGATATTTGATAGTGTTTAGGAGCTGCTGATTGTTGGTTTATTATGTATTGCTTATTGTGAGATGATGTGTTAACTTTGTAATGCAGATTTAATTTCAGCTTCACTTACCCATTGCTTCACATTCTTGACTTGTGCCATGAAATAGCCTAAGTTCTCTGTTGACTTTTCCCACATTAGGTAGCTGCTGCCAGCAACTGCCAAAGCCCACGCTGGCTCCAAGGCTGGTTCAATATTTCCATAGCTGTCTGAGAGGGGAAGTAAAAGACAGTGATGTAAAAATAATTCTGCTTTTACATCAGAAACCACTTTTGCACTGACATTGGATTATTCCCAGGAAGTAACTGTTTCCTCGAAGTCTGTTTTGCAATATTGAATGGAGAGGGTAATGAACTGATAATAAGCTTCTTCTAATTATAGAAATACAAAAGCATGTGCTGACCCTGGTGGAGTTGAGTTTAGCAAGCAACATTATCCACTGGGTCCCCACAGTGTAGAGTGAAATGGGAAACCCAGTCTCCATGATGACAGAGTTAGGATGAGCCTATCCAGAGTGGGTAAATAACTGAGGCACATTATCACTCTATTTCCAGTATACAAATATTCTACTAGTCAGTCCCCTATGTGCCTCCTCTCAGTTGAGGGAACACCAGTGGCCTCAGAGACACTTGTTAATACTCTATGACTTCCCTAAAAGCAGCGAAAGAGTGGGTCTTTCATTGCAGAATTTTGCACAGAATTATGTCGTCGAATCGTACAGATATCTCTAGTCCATCATGTTGTCTTCATCCTGCAAAGCCCCAGCAAATTTTTTCAGAAATCTTCTGGAATGTTGGCCCCTTTTTAAAATCTCTTTGTTTTAAAGCTGCTATTGTCAAAATAAATATCTTTAAAAGAAGTTTGTGCATATTTGCTTGATTTTTGTAGTGGTTACAAAAACTGTTTAGCACAAAAATTTAAAATAATGACTGAAAGGGAATGTACCGGGAATATCATTTCCAATGAGTGGTTTGGTTTGTTGCCTCATTTTTTTGTAAAAGCTGTAGTCATCTTCTCGGGTTTGCTTCTGATCTTTGGTATATGTGCAGTTTATATTAACGGCAGGTCGAGGTTTCCTCTTCAGGTAGAACACTGTAGCAAGGCAAGTCCCAACGTTTTGCTAAAAACATAAATATCAAAGCTATTATCTTTCACTCCATGTCTTTATGTGCATGCATCATGTTTTCAAAACAAAACAAAAAAACTCCATTGTGTTAATCTCTGAGGCAAAGCATATACGGTCGGCATGTTATGTGAAACTATATAGGATTTGTATAGGGTTAGGAGGATTGGGGCAAAACACCTATGATTTATCAGTTATTGCTTTTGCATCTCTTGAAGTAAACAGTGTTCAGAAAAAATACAATCAGACCTGTCCTGAGCAACAGACAGAAATTAGTTGCTTAATAGAGCTGGTCTTCTAGTACAGGGGAGCAGAGCTGTCCACGGTACCCTTGGGGATACTTCGGGATCGTCTCTCTCAGAACAGGAGATTAACTGATAAGAGAGGTCTTTTGGACAGGTTTTCCCTGTATCATAAACATGGCCTTTATTCAGAGAAGAGCCAGGGATTCATTTTAAAAATCATTCTGTATGGTGTAGATCTGCCTGTAATGGAATCCCAGATGCATATGGTGAAATCAGTAATGAGAAGTCCCCAGTGGAGTGCAAGTGCAGTGAGGGTTATAATTTCAACAAATTCATCAAGTACGTATTCAGATTTTGGAGCGTGGACACCACAGGAGATACATTTGGATAATGAGGGCCATACTGTGCCATTGATTTTGACATCAATAGGAAGTTTGACTTAAAAGTTTGATGGGACAATATAGCTCCAGGTCAGGATTATCCTCCTCAGGCATTGAGCCAAATAAACCCTATGAAGGGTCCACTCACAAAAGCATTGAAATGAGCTGTATTTTTAGGGGTAAGTATTGTACTTTGTGTAGGAAGGACCATCTTACATTACAAACTTACGCTGCTTTTGTAGTCTTCTGTAGTGAACTGCAGGTAGTACTTATGTCCAATTCCTGGGATAGTCTAGAAGTGAGAGAAACAAGATCTTTATAAAAGGGGAAGTTCAGATTGTATTTTAGCACAGATTGTTCTGGTTGCGTAGGTAGGTCATCATTAAAATATTTACTGGTTATTGCTAAATACTGTATTCAGGTGATAGCACGGAAACCCATGCTGTGGCTTACCCTTGTATCCCGTGTGGGCACTACAATACGTTATTATGGACAAGACAGCGATGCATTATTAGAGGCGGTGTCTGGGGTCACTTTTGCCTTGCTTTGGCTGTCCAATCTGAAATTAAAGATTGCATGGTACTACTTGAAATGATGAGGGGATAACCTGAGTGCCCTAATGACTATTTCTGCTCTTATTAAAACCAGTTTTATAATGTCCATGCTACGAATAAGCACACAGGACCTGATCCAGCTCCCAGTAATGGAAATAGAAAGATTCACATTGACTTCAATAGCAGCAGCAGCTGATCCATAAATGGCTGTTTTATTTGCTTACACAATAACTACTATGCTAAACTCCTTGAGAGATTTAGATATAAAGCATTACAGAGAAAGGCACCGTCTACATTACTAACACCAATGCCCAGACACTGCTCATAAGACCAGAGGTGAGCTGGACCCGGTTCGCACCAGTTTGCTAGAACCGGTTGTTAAATTTAGAAGGCCTTTTAGAACCGGTTGTTCCGCAAGGGTCAACCGGTTCTAAAAGGGCTTCTAAATTTAACCAGCCAAAAGTGGCGCCTTAGGCACCAACTCCACGGGTGCTCCAGCCCTGGAGCACCCAAGGGGAAAATTTAGTGGGTGCAGAGCACCACTGGCAGCTCCCCGCCCGGCCCCAGCTCACCTCACCTCCACTCCGCCTCCTCTCCTGAACGCGCCGCCCCGCTCTGCTTCTCTGCCCCCCACCAGGCTTACCGCGAATCAGCTGTTCGCGCGGGCAGCCAGGGCGGGCTGAGAAGCAAGCCGTGGCTTCCCACTCAGGCCCAGGGAGGCAGAGGTGAGCTGGGAAGGGGGGACACGAGGAGGGCCGCCCGCGCCGCAGCAGGTAACCGGGGGGAGTGGGGGAGGGGGGCGGAGCAGGGGAACCGCTCCCCGCCCCAGCTCACCTCCGCCACCCTCAGCCTGAGCAGGAAGCCGCAGCTTGCTTCTCAGTCCGCCCCGGCTTCCCGCCGAACAGCTGATTCGCGGGAAGCCAGGGGAGGGGGCGGAGAAGCAGAGTGGGGTGGTGGGTTCAGGGGAGGAGACGGAGGTGAGCTGGGGCCGAGTGCGGGGCTGGGGCTGCCGGTGGGTGCTCTGCACCCACCAAATTTTCCCCGTGGAGTCAGCGCCTAAGGCGCCACTTTTGATGTGATCAGTGGGGGGAGCAGCCGTTCCCTCTGCTCCCCCCCAAGTTATACTCCCCCACCCCTAGGAGCTAGAGGGACCTGCTGGATGCTTCCTGGGAGCTGCCCCAGGTAAGCACCGCTGGGACTCCCCCTGGCATGTGCCTCTGGCTCTTAGGGGTGGGGTGGGCACCCACTACGGTGGCCCACGAGACCCTCCTGCCTGGTTCTGGGGGCAGACGGGGGAGGGGGGTGGATGGGGCAGGGGTTGTGGGGGGGGGTCAAGGAACAGGGGGGGTTGGATGGGGCAGGAGTCCCGGGGGGCGGAGGTGGGCAACGACCCCCTTGTGGGGTGAGGTGGGAACCCGTTGTTAAGATTTTGGCAGCTCATCACTGCATAAGACCCATTTTTATTTAAACATGGAGCTTGAACTAGCTTGGCTTTACCACCAGTTGAAAAGGGTGTAATTTGGTGCATATATTTTTAGAAAGATGTTTGATTCTCCCTCCGTGCTTCAGAAATTCAGTTATGCCCCATTTCTACTTGAAGCAAAACTGTGCCAACTGAGCCAGCTTTAAAAATCAGCATAGTGTGAAACTAAATTCTGCTGTTCTTTCTCCATTCAATTTGTTCAACCTATCAAAACCAAAACTTAATAGTAGCACCACTTCTACTATGAAAATAGGTTCTATTTTAGTCCCAGCTATGAGCAATGGAAACCAGATGCAGTCAGGGGAGCACAAATATGTATATGCATTTGTTACAGAACAATACAAATTGCTACTAAGGATCCTATCCGGCCCAAAGACATCTATGCAGCTTCAAGTCTACAAAGGCCCTGGCAGTCTGCAAATGTTTCTGCTCACCTACAGTCATTGACTCTGCTGCTTATTCTGAAGGGCCATGGAAACCAATTTCAACTTTGTGTCTGCCTTTGTCTGTTCTATTCCCAGGCCACAGTCATACATGGTCGCTGCATTCCCAATGACCTAGAAACCAGGTGAGTTCTTCCTCGGCTGACTTTCAGATGGATCTCTGTCAGGAAGAAGTGATGATTAGGGCCCACTGGACAGAAGATTCTTCCCTTCTCATTATACTGAATGCCAAATTAGTGTGAGTCCACTCTGAATTATAATCAATTATTACTGAGGATGCTGTGATCACAGAGTAGCAAAGTAGAGTGTGCAAAGACTACTTCCGTCACTTTATCAGAAATAATGTTCTCTAAAAATGTAACCCAGACTTCCATTTGATTATGGTTTTTCATGTGATAGATAAGTAAAAAGGACATGTTTGACAAAGAGAAAAGCAGAAACCTTCCAAAACAACTGTTAGATATGGACATCAGGCTGATTCACATTGAAAGTGCATACAGCCTAAGAGCTGTCTTTGCAGCAGTCCTGCGAAGACTGTGTATGTACTTAACTTTATGCACCCACCAGTAGTCTCATTGACATCAATCGGGTTCTGCTCATGATGCATAAGATTAAGCACATGTATAAGTCTTTGCAGGATCTGGGCCTTAGAAAGGTGATGAAGAAAGATGCAAGTATGTCCATGAATCATTCTGCCTGGCTGTGTGTAGTCTCCAAAATTAATTCAGAGTGTGTATCATGTAGCTTATATATTTTACTGAAAAGTTAGAAAAAACAAAACATTGGTCTGAAGATGGTATGGGAGTACAATACTGGGCACAGCATTCCATCCCAAAATTTGGAGCTTAGATTAAGGAATGTTCTAAAGCCAGGGTAGTACAGATTAAGATTCTGTTCTGAAGAGGCTGACAGTCTAGATTCAAAAGAATGAAACTCACATCTTCAGATCAGTGCTGGAAAGACTAGGTGGAGTTTTTAAACATAGGCTACAGGGGTTCCCTTAATGACATACAGTTTAGATGTCTGTCATGTTGCACACTGATTTACACGTGAAGACTGAAGCTGTCATCCCTGAAGATGCTAGCAGGTAAGAGACTCTCACATCTCATCAGAAGTTTCAGTTCCTAAAAGCTATGACTGAAACAAAAAAGATTCAATTCTTGCTCAGTGGAAATAACCGACGGTACCACAGTTACCACACAGGTTCAGGAGACTTTTGAAAACTGGAAAATTTGAGCACAGAGGAGCTGGAATAATTTGTAAAGTGGGGGTGCTGAAAGCCAATGAACCAAACTGTGAACCCTGTATATGATGGAAATCACTTCAAGCCAGGGGGCGCTGCAGCACCCCTATTTCCATCACCTATGTCTGAGCGTACACATTTGAAATTGTGGCATTTTCAGATCTGCAAATCTTGTCACCGTGGTTTAACATTGCAGTCCTTCATGATGATGATTGCTGACTGAAATGGTTCAGTAAGATTCCTCAGTGGATCTTTACAGAAACACTTCAACTAACAAGCTCTAATTCTGATGTGGTCTGCTTAACCACAGAATATCCTGGGACAAAGTGCACTCAAGTTGCACAGAAACAAATATTTTAGGGTCAGATTCTGAAAAACGCTATCATGAATAGTCCCATTGTACCACTCAAAGTAGTAAGTACTAAGCCTGGTAATAAGTATTTGCAGGATCTGCTCCTTCCTTTGCTAGTTAATCACTTATCCTCCCACCAACTTTTGTCTTTTTCATTTTTTGCAAGCAGGGAGTTTGAATGGTTTGGGAGCTAGTGAACATATACAGGTAAAGGGTGTTTACAAATTAGTTATCTGTTGAAATCTTGCTTGTAAATTAATATTTTGCATCAGTTAAATGGCTGGCATGTTTGCACATTTTTCTTTGATAAAATCAATTATAAGAAAATCAAACCAAATGAATCTATTTGGATGTTGTCATACAGATTTTCCCTTAAGGGGTTGTCTATATTGCAGTGCCTAATTATTTTATTTGAGAGTGCTAGTTGTTTACCAAATGTGTGTGTTTAAATGTAAAGGTAAATTACTGTATGATAGCAAAAATTACTACAATTTGTTAATCTTATATTTGTTTTGCATGTGATCCTCCCCAAGTGAACAGTGAAAAGAATTCTGGCTGTTTGTACAGTGTTAGAGGTTAGAACCTTGAGCAGGTGTGCACATATTTTACTTATCCAAACTTGGCTCTCCTTACACACACACACACACACTTTTTTTTCTCCAGGCAGCTATTACTATCAAATGTTTGTAAAAGTTTACTAGGAGAGCAAAGCTGTGGGTCTGGCATCTGCCCTATGTATATACATGTGGTTATATATTTCAGATAAGAGGCGACAGTGGATTAGCCACTTACACAACTTTAAAATAGCTTGTTTGGCCTCAGAGGGCAGGGAGACTGAATGTTGACCCTCATAATCTGCTTTTCTTTTCTTTTTCCCTTCCACTTTGAGCCCTAGCTAACAACGTGTTGTCCTTTTGATCTACTCAACCATCAAGTCAAAATGACAAAGGCTATTAAATGAACAGGCATTCTTAGTATAGTAACAAAGTAGCTGCCTGGAGTTTTATGAGCGACTTACGAAGGTGTTATAAGTGTTTGTGGCATAGAAACCAAGACCCAGTATTGGGAGGGATTGAGCACCCTGTGGGAGGCACTCAGCACTAAGGAGAGATGGGCCCTATGTCAGCTTGCAATTTAGCCTTAAAGGGACACAGGGAATTATTTCCATATATTGCCATAGCAGAAAAAAATTTTAGGGTCCTGTGTTAACACAGTTA